TAAACTTATGTGCTTCTCCAAGTCGCAAAACTTTTATAAATATTTTAAGCACTTATATATGCCGATTTTGTAACAGAAAATATTTTGTAGGTTTGTTTTATACATATTTACTTATTTAAATAGTGTAAATGCATATTTGTCTAAGTATTTCCATGTTTAAATAGACAAATTATATGATGCGGTGTTAATTTACTGTAATAAAAAAAAATTGATTTTATTTCAAGTTTGAAATTAATGCAAAAATATAATGAAGTAAAATCAAATAAAAATATAAATTGGCAAAGTATTTGACTAGTTTCAAATCACAAAACAGTCAATATGGTTGTTTTATAATTTGAAACTAGTCAAATATTTTTCCAATTTATTTTTTTTTGTTTGATTTTCTTCATTACATTTTTGCCCAGCTATCCCAAAGTTAAATTTCAAAAAGCCCGCTCGTTGCGGCCATATTAAATTTTAGTACCACTCCAATTTGATAGATGATAGCACATCGCCTCATAATTTTACCATTGAGTTTCCCATCTATTCACATTACCGTAATCTATAGTCTTGACTGTAAAACATATTTTGATAGATTGTGACCACTTTTCCGAGCAAAGGAGACGAAACAAGCTGAAATCAAAATTACGTGAAATATTAAAGGAATCTACAGAATACCAGTATCTGTTCAGTTTTTTAAAAGACGTTTAACTTTTTCCAAAAAATTTACATCAAAATAACTTTATGAAAACACTATTGTAAAATCACTCTATATATAATTGTAGTTGTGTCAATAACCTCAGCGTCGAGACACGTTAATTTTAATAAAAAAAGCTAGTTCTAGATAATAAAGTGGATGATTCTGTTTTTAAACTAACTAATATGTAGAATATATCTATATGAAAGTAAACAAAATTGTTTATGAATACCTACCTATATTTCTTGTCAATTTATACGTTTCTTATATTCCAGATCTATCTAAATATTTTTCTGAAATTCTAAATTCAAATATATATGTGATAATGGATTGTTATATATCGTTACCGAAGACAGAAATGTTTTCATTGAAAACCTGGAATTCGGTCATGTTTATGATTTATGAACGTTTCTCCTGAAAACGATATTTTATTACGAAAATCACTTCAAATATCAATCATGTTGTGTATTTTCAAAATGATATTTAATGGACACACAGGTAGTTATTATATATTGATTGATTTATGGAATTTATATCGTTTTAACGTTAATCTCTTTTAATATTTTACTTTATTTTTAAAATAAATATAAGATATTCTAATTCATACCTACATGGCTTGGGTTTTAATATTTTACTATAATTTTATGTTAAATGTAAAATATTCTAATTGATACATACATTGCTTGGTTAGGTTATGTTATATTCAGTCAATAAAATAGGGTCTCAATCTAGTTACCCAATTTCACGTGTCATTTTTAAATGTATTTATTTATTTATTTATTTAATACACTGTTTAACAGGAAACCTAATTAAAGAACAGAATTATAAGAAAAAAAAAATATTCACAATCTGAACAATAAAATTCAAAAGTAAGTAGGTTACAATAAGAACAAGAGTTACAAGCTAATATAAGAGAAAATGATTCTTAACTTTATCTTTAAAAAATGGTCAGTCGATTCATGTTCAGATACTGAATTTTTAAAATGTCCTGATTATTGTACCTTAGTGGAATTATCTTAGAGGATTGACAACCGAATAACTTTGACATGACAAAGATAAACAAGTCATAGAACTTCAAAATAAAGGTATTGAAAAATCTATCCTAAACTAACCTAGATTCACTAATACATTTTTGTAAAATATTTTAAATTATTATTATTATTATTATTATTATTATTATTGTTGTTTTCATTTGCTTTTTTGATGATTCTCTTTTAAATGGTATAACTAGTAAGTAATAATTTTAGTAGGTGGAAAATAAAATGTTTTATAAAATTTGTAGCAGTTTGAAAGTTATACATTAGATGGACTTGCGATGAGGAAAGAAGGTTAATTTGATGGAAAAACAGAAGAGAAATGATAAGGACATAGGACAAGTTGGACAATGGGATATAGAACAGCAAGGTTTAGAAAATATAGTTACCAAAGAAACACAGCTGCCGAAGAAAATAATAACTGAAGAAAAATATAGAACTGCATATGAGATCAGGGAAGATAGAGATTCAATAGTGAAGATGCTAGAAACATGAGGAAAAAAGATATGAAGATAAGGAAGAATTATTGAAGAAATTAATGAATATAGGAAAAAGCATAATGAAGAAATAATACATTGCAAACATTCTCCAACGACCTGTCAAACAACAGCTGTTGATTGTAAAAGTGAGATTTCTAAGCCGGGCTGCGACCTTCATACTCGCAACCATAGCCATTTTGGAGGCTATTTTTATTCGAAATTAGTTGCCAAGCCTGTCAATTTATGAAAAATATATAAGCAGTTTCTTAAAAATGACTATTTCGCCCCTAGCCACAAAAACACCTTTATCAGATTTACTGGTTCTCTGTCGCAACCCCATAAAATAATTAACCGCCCATTTTATTTGGCAAAAATCAGAATAATACGTCAACTGTGATGTGTGAATGGCTCTTAAATGTCAAATTATTTAAAAATGTTTGCTTCTTTTGATATTTATTGCAAATAATTTGTAGTGTATCTCAATTCAGGCTTTCCATAAATAAAGGAACAGCAAGACAGATAATATAATGTTCTTATACAAAGCATTTTTTTTATTATATAAAAGAGAGGCAGGATATAATTGTGGTTTTTTGTAGACAATTTAAATTATACGATTTTGGATTACTTTAGGAGCAATATCATATTTTCCACATTATACCATATTGCAAAATAGATTTAACCAGGGAATTGTAAATAATAATTAGTAAACTTTTAGTTATAAATTTCCTCAATTCATAAAATTTAAAAATGAATCTTCTAACTTTGGTTGTTAATGACGTAATGTAATCAACCAATTTCAAATTTTGATCAATTATGATACCGACGTATTTTGTTGTGTTTTTCATTTTAATTATCAAGATGTCATTTATTTGTATGTTAAAAGAAGGCCTTTGTAAATTATATTGCTCTCTATGGATCTATTTTAATACAAAAATAGTTTTGCGGCTATAAGTTGCTATAACCTATAGTCGCAAAACTGTTAAAGTTGACCCCTAGTGAGCTTTGTTTCTAAATAAAGTAAAAAATTACAAATTATATATAAAAAAAAACTAACCAATTATTGGGGAATTCAGCAAATAATATGTGAAAGAAAACTTTTTTTACTTCATCCAAGCTTTCGGAAATTTATTAAATCATTTCCATCATCAGGGTAGACTACAAATAATGTTGGAAAAATAGTTACAATGGACCAAAATAGACTAAAGTTACTACTTATATATTAATCATTTATTTAGCAACTGCTAATTTACATTGGTAGTCAAATATATTTATAATATAGTTATAATAAATGCGGGTAAAACGAGCGGTAAAATAACAATTAAGCGAAATACTTAAAAAGGGCAGTATTATCACACGAAAATATATCCGTTCTGTTTATTTATCAAGTATTGTTTGAGGTTACTTTTGAATACATTTATTGTTGTTATTTTTTTAATTTCTGTAGATAGTCTATTAAATTTTTGCAAACCTTTAATAAAAATTGTATTTTGGAAACTTTTAGTGATGGCTTGCCGTACATGAAAGTCAGATTGGCTTCTTGTATTATAGTTGTGATATTGCGAATTATATTGAATTTTTTCTAATAGATCTGATGCGATGGTACTGTCATTTTTATTTTATTTTATGTACTGAACATAATTCTGAACTGAAAGCCAATTTATTTCTTTTAACATAGTTGCAATATTCATCCTTCTGTCCTCTATTAATATTATATAAATAGGCGAAGTAAGGAGCCCAAATATTTTACATGAGCAGGCTTAAGAGGTAAAAGGGGCCAATTATAATTGGATAAATTACTCGAACAACTTTGTAAACCCTAATAAAAAGGCGATGTAGAATGGGTTTCAAAATCAAAGCTTGTGAAAATCATCACATGGTTTAACTTAAGTAATGACAATGCTTCACAAACCAAAAAATTCAACGTCCTAATACTACTATCGGCTTTCGGTCTTTCGTTCCAAGTTAAATTATTTTTCATTTTTTTTTTACTGTACGGGTTTACTCTTGTTTCGATAAGGTGGGAACCACCTTTTTGGCGTCTCTCGAATTACAATTGAAAAATAGTTGTATGTGCCTTGAAAAAAAAAGGGATCCGCCAATCTTTCAACCCAATCACCAACTTTTTGGGAATTTAATAGTTCTTCAACAAAAAATGAGGATATTCAGTTGACCATCACCTTATATTTCTTTAATTAACTTTTCTAAAAAATTAAAAACAAGTCTTATCTGAGAAAAAACTGTGTTAAGAATATCTTCATTGTTTAGATTATTTTAGAACCACTGATAATATTCTAGCAATAATTCTATTTTTATTAATCTAATTATGACATTTCTCGTTTATATTCCTATTTATAAAAATGTTATTCTATTTTTAATAAAAAAAAAAAACACAGAAACGACGTCTTTCTCACGTTATGTATCAATCGGAAATTAAATAATTATAAAAGAGTTTTATCTCAAATTATTATTTTGCATTTGAGCAATTATAAGAATAATTGTATTGTCAAAGAATGGAATTTATTAAATCCAAAAAAAACATATTTATTCTAGTTTAGCTGTTTATCATTAAAAAACAAAAAATAGTAAGATTAAAATACATTTAAACCGCAAACTATTATTAGAATCTCTACAAAAAACCTCATCAAGCAAAGTACTCCTTCATTAAAGACCTCTTTAATCCCTCTTTTGACCCTCGCTTTCTAAGACTTTAGAAAAAGAGCAGCCCATTCATACTTTCCCACTCATCGGGATCTTGAAAACAAGGATAAAAGGAAGCTTGAAAGACACTAAAGACAGGTGCAAGATACTTACTTGACAATATAAAACTCATGAAGAAAATATAGAGATTCCTCACTTAGAATGTATCACTGTCACCACCGAAAAATCGCGATAAATAGTCATTGTAAAAAAAAAAGAAAATAGTAGAAAAGTGCGGCTCAAATTCACGTTTGTTGGGATCACACCGAGGAACAAAATTCGGACAAAACAACGCGCTATCTCCGTGTACGGTTTTAAAAGTGTGCCGAGAGATCATCTGGGAAAGCGAGGCATGGAAAAGTGCTGCGCAAATCGACCTCGCGTCGCCATGGTTACCGGCGGGAAAACGCCAATTAACGGAAAAACATTGAAAGTTTTGTAAGGACATGATAATGTCGAAATTCTTTTTCTTCTTTCGCCCGTTATTCACACATGAGGAATTTCTCTTCGTAATAAAACAGCTTAGTCGGGAGCTTACATGACGGTGCTGAAGCCTATATAGAAGAATTTTTTGCGATCCAACGTACCTGCACTTTTCCTATGCAAACGGGGTCACTGCCAAACTGTTCGAATTTTTTGTGTCACAGTACTTGATATCTGCATTAAAGTTTCCTGTGACTAAATTTCGACAGTAAAAAATCCCAAATTCTTTAAAATGTATATCAAAACGCAGTGGCGGCTTGTAGTGATTTAAAATGGGTGTTCACTTTTTCCAATAATTTTATCATATACAAAGAGGTTAGAAAGGATAGGTAGGATAGGTAACATAGGAAGCATATGTCGCTGCGCGAATTTTGTCAAAACCGAAAAACTGGGTTGAAGGAGTAGGGAGATATTCTGGGCCGGACTTAAATATTTGTATTGTAGTACCTAATTTTAGTAGGTAACTAAAAGATGAAAAATTATGAGACGTTTTTTTGACTTTATTTGTTAACACGATTCATTTATGATGAGGGAAATAACACTTTATAAATATATAGCTAGTAGCTAAGGGCCGATTCCACCGTTGTGTCAAACGAAGTTTAAATTACTAAACGGACATTAAAATGACATTGTTAATGTAAAAATGTCATTTTAATCTTCATTTAGTAATTTAAACTTCGTTTTTGTTAATATAAAAATATCATTTTAACCTTCGTTTAGTATTTTAAACTTCGTTTAACAAAACGGTGAAATCGACCCTAAGTAAAAGTTTATAAAATTATTGTAACAAAATAGCTGTTGAGACAAAAAGTTATCGAAAGTACTTTTTGTTCGAATTACACACAAGATTTTTTCTACGATCACACCAAAATAAAATAAATAATTAAATTTTATTAGAAATGGGTTACCTTTTCGTTCGTTATAATATTTTAAGTTTATTTAATATAAGCCTACTCTTCGAAGAGAAAAAAAATGTTTTGGTACTTATATGCCGGTAATTATTTACGATTTAATTATTTACGGAAAATAATGTTCAGTGATTTAAAATATTAGGAAGTCAATTAATAGCTATTTATGTAACCAGTTCATTTTGCGTGACCTCGCTCCGCTCGTTCCGCAAAATAAGGCATTTCGTAACGTGTTTACATATAAGATTTTTTCTAATTTTGACTTGATTATTTATAAAATTATGTTGAAGAATGATTCACAATCATTCTTTTGTAGGTACTTCCAACCAAATATTTCACAAAATTATTGTATTTGATTGCCCTACGACGTTTTTTTTTTTTCAATAGTAAAAATTAAAATAAGGGACATGTGCAGTGTTGCCGATCTGATTTTTAACATTACCCGTGAGAAATTTGAAAAAAAAGGTTTTTACCCATTATCCTTAAAGGAGTACGTCAAAATTTTACCCTCAACATTTCTGGGCACTTTTCAATAACAATGTTCAATTATTTAAAAAATAAAACGCAATTTACAGCTTTTCTTTTTTTTGTTAAACGTAATGTCTTATTTTCAAATGTGAAAAGTCATTATTCATTGCCCTTTTTTCAATTTTTGGTTTTTTTGATTTTTCGTTTTATGGATTTTTGGATTTTTCGATTTTTTTATTTTTCGATTTTTAGATTTTACGATTACTCGATTTTTCGATTTCTTAATTTCTCGATTTTTCGATTTTTCGATATTTCGATATTTCGATTTTTCGATTTTTCGACTTAAAAACCAAAAAAGAGGCAGATTTATTTATTTTCATTTCGTAACTGGTGACATAATCAACTTTTCGTAATCAGTTGAATAATATTCTACTTTATGCAACTGCATGGTTGAATAAAGTAGATCGTCTTGACACTTGCTGCGATTACAAAATATATTACTTTATATGTCAAAATTAGAGAAAATAACAAAATGTAAATTAAATGGATATTATTATATGTCAAAATTAGAGAAAATAAAATGTAAATAAATGGATATTATTATAGATATTATTATAGAGCAGTGTTTTTCAAACTTTTTTGGGGTATATCTTTAGCTGGGTTAAAAATAATTATCTGAGGTAAGTGATGTAACTAGGATACAGAAATATCCATATAAATATTCATTAAATTTATTTAAGCTAAAAATTATTGCAATGCCTCCTCTTTCAATTTGGGAATATTTTTGTTCGGACTTTGATAAGGTACGCGAAGATATTTTTTTCAAAAACATGACATATCATGGCTCTTATTCCCACATTTGATGCATCTACGATCATTTGTTGTTAATTTATTTTTGATTAATTCCAAAGATTCTTTGCAAGGATTATCCCAAATCCATTTCACCCATAAAAAATAAAATAAAAAAGGTCCTCAAGCCAGGTCCCTCCATTTTGTGGCGATAGTACTGTTTTTTTTTTTTAATTATGAATATTTTCTTCGCGGAGCCCTCATAAAGGCTTTGCGAAGCCCCAGGGTCGCGGAGCATATTTTGAGTAGCACTGTTATAGAGAAATACTAAATAAATAGTTTTGAAAAAACTATTGAAACCAGTTGTGAAGTTTGAAACTAATAAATTGGCAATGAAATTGATATTTTTGTATTTGATTGTATGTTACTCTTTCCACTTCCTAAAAAAAGATTCCCCATGAAACAAGTAAACAGTTTATAATAATAACCTTGGAGGTGGGTGGCTCAGTGGTAGAGTCTCTGCCTGTGGATCCAAGGGTCCCAGGTTCGAATCCCACCGTTGGCCGGGATTTTTTTATTTAATTTAATTATTTAAAATTAATTCTGATGCCTTGGTAGGATTCCCCACTCGACCATTCACTGTTGGGTTCTAATTAACAGTGCTGTTCCTAAAGTGGCGCTGGGAAACAGTAACAAAGCCTACACAGAACACGAGGCTAATGACCTTAGCAGTCGATGCCGATGACACCAAAGTCCGATTCTGTTTATTTTCAAATCAACAAATATGGATGTCGACAGAATCTTTAAAAATTAAATATCTCACCGAAATAAATGTAAGTTTCTTTTATCTCCGTAACATTTCGCACTTTTATTATAAATAAAGCTTTTTCCAACACATCTTGGCATTTTCAACGTTAATTTCCAAAATTTAAGTCACTAAAATACCAAAGTAATTCTCGTTGACACATTAAATTTGAATGGACAACGGTCTAACATGTGATGTTCTCAACTGTGATTGGCGGGTGTGAATAATTTCGAAATGGGATTATGCGCAGTGTCTTATGTTCCATCTAAGGTTGGTATAATCTAAGATCATATGTAAGTTCGGATCAAAACTTTGAACAAGAGTCAATATCGCTGTTTTTTTTTTGTTATTTGAGTTTGTATTAAATGTAGTTATTATTATCAACATCATAATGTTTTTAAGCACTACAACTATTAATAAATGAATATTTTAGTTAGTGTTATATTTGTTTTGTTTTTAATACGTTGAAAACCATCTATAAACATTATTAGTTAGTAAACTGACTTTTCTTCTTAATTTGAGATTATTTTTAAATATATATATATCAGGTTATGTAGAAAGCTTGACATTGATTTTTGTGTAAAAAATTTTATATGAAACTTTACCTACCATTTTTTAGTTTTTATTGTAAATTTAATCATTTTTACAATTTGTCAGATGTCAAATAAAAAATATATTTTTTAAATACCTTTTATTGACAAATAAAATAAGAACTAAAATGTTTTAAATGTTTATTTTATAAGATCAGTCCCATCACAATACATTAAAATGGTAAATATTCGATATAGGAAAAAAATGTATTCTTTCAAAAAGTTCCCTGACGATCTAAGCAATTGGAATCCACGAGAACATTTCCAAAAATTTTCAAGTGTTTGGCAAAATGTTGACTTAATTTTTTGTAAAAATTCAAAACTTTGATTCTATAAACTTTTGCATAGAGGTATTTATCGTTCATTACGTTTTCTTTTTCTATAAAGTTTTAAAAAAAAAATGTGGTTTTTTAAATTAAAAAGAAAAAAATTCTTCGGAAAAGTTATAAAAAAATCTGATTAAATGTGGAGGATTTAAGGGGTATTGAAATCAAATAAAAATCAAAAATGAAAGGCGATATCAACATGAAACTTTTAGTAAAAATCAAGGTCTATAAGGAGATGTGTTTTGGAGTGAGGGTAGCCATATGTGAGTAGTAGGGATTAAGTGTAAAGGTTAAAGAAAAAGTCCTTTATTTCTCACAAAGTCAATTTATTGGCGACCGGTTTCGAAGTTGTCACTTCATCATCAGGCACACTAAATGGAATATCAAGGAGTCAGTTGTAATAAAAACAATTATAAAAGCATGAACGGACTTTAACATATACAAAATAACAGAAAAAACTCAAAAGAAAGTTAAACCAATAACCTTGACTGCACCTTGACTAATTCCATAAAGAGAAGCGCTACAAAAAGTTTAACAGAACGAGTTAAAAAAGTCCATGTGTAATAAGTATTTTTTAAAAAATGTTTTAAATGTAGGTTAGGTTAAACCACCAGATGTCTTTTTGAATAAAATAATAATTAAAACACATTTAAGACAATTATTAACTAAACAACACAAAATAGTTTTACAAGCACAAACAGTTTAAAAAATTTTAAGGAAATAATGTTAATTACTGAAAGTAAAAAGTAAAAAGTAAAAATTATCAGACTGTCAAGACATCTATCTAGATTTTTAACGAATCAATGCAGTAAACTGTAAATTTTAAATTAGCGGATAAATAGTGTACTAACGGAGGTGTTATTTACTGAAAGTGAGTATAGGTGGCGATGACAAAATTTATTGAAAGTAAAATATATTAAACTGAGAATGAGAAAACAAAAAATTTTTTTATACTAACAAGAAAATTAGAACACTAAACAAGAAAATATGAAAATTCATATGTAAAAAGGGAAAATTTGAAGCAGATAATTTTCTTTTTGATTATCTGCTTCAAATTTTCCCTTTTTACATATGAATTTTCATATTTTCTTGTTTAGTGTTCTAATTTTCTTGTTAGTATAAAAAAAATTTTTGTTTTCTCATTCTCAGTTTAATATATTTTACTTTCAATAAATTTTGTCATC